AATGCTTAAGTACAACAAGAAGAAATAAAACAAGTTGTATGCTAATTAATCTTTTGGTGCAGATCACTAATTACATTGGAAGATTTTAAGTTTGGTATTGGATTGAGATAAAACAGTAGTCATGTAGTCAGCAAGGGGAAATATCAAAGGAACCGTCGGCATGCATCTCTCCACTCTAAACAAGGAAAACCGACACTATCTAATGGGGATATATCAAGGGAACTAGTTTGATCACCTTAACACCGCGGAGTATTGGATCATTACTTATCATGTCAATTACTGGAGGGCAGCTAATAGGAGTACCGGTTGTCAGCAAGTCACCTTCTACATCAACCCCATAAACATTGGCTGCATCCCAAAGGCTAACAAGAATAGAACAATAAATATTCCACAAACACATGGATCACACAAGCACTCATTTGACGTACTCTAGATCATTTGCACCTGCTGCTCCTTGACATGATTGAACCAAGATCAAAGCGGAAGCCGTCGACATGCATTTCTGTAACCCAATATCTGTTTAAAGAGAGAGAGAGAGAGAGAGGTATCCATATGCTTAGGAAGAGTTAACTGAGGATAATATCATGAAATACATATATTTATGGGAACTACCTCAGGCAATCCACTATGAATTGACGCACCACAGGATGATTGCAGTTGAATGTATTACCACAGCCTGAATAATTATAGAACTCGCCCTGTTAAATTAAAAAATATGCATAAACTTTAGATTGATTTATGGGTGTTGAATTCGATATCATCAGTATGAGACTACAAACTAGAAAACCAAAAGCATTATGGGTGTTGAATTCAATATCATCATTGGGTGGAATATGTACACTTTACTAGTCTTAGCGAAGTTATGTAAAGGTCATGCAGAAAACACAAAAGAAGGTTCCTGCAGGTTCCTGACACATTATAAGACTATAAGTTACTGGACCGACCAACTACCAGAATCAGCAAAGTGACTTAGTTTATTGAGTGTGTACTTTATGTCTTAATTGGCAGAATAAAAAAGAGTCCTCTATTTCAGATTCATATCCCACCGATCTTTTGATGCTCTCTTGTTCCCTAAGCAGCGAAACTCTTGAAAAGAAACACATGACTGCTTGATGATCATTACCTTTGGAGCAAGCATGTAATAGACACTGTTATCAACTCCTCTAAATGAGAAAATGGGTCCTTTTTCATTCCCTTCAGCTGTGTGGTTCAAGACGACATCCATGATGACCTGCTTAAAATCTATCATGAACTGCATCCGTAAACCTAACAATAAATATTTAGCTACTAGGAAACTAGTTGTCACCTCAATTCCTCGTTTATGTGCTTCTTTAACAAGAATTTTGAACTCATTTATGGCTCTTCCAGCAAAACTGTTAGAGCTTGCCGATGCGTATCTGATCATGGGCGAGAAGAACCCAATGGTAGAGTATCCCCAAAAATTTAACCTGAAAAAGCAAGACAGCCAGATTAGACATGCTATATGCAACATTTAATTCAGTTTGTAAAACTTATAAAATGGTATGGTTTCATGTGAGAGAGCTTGCTCAAACTATCTATTCCAGATATGTGATATTATCTGTAAGTTGTTTCACCCTCATTGCTCGGAAGATTTCTGAGGCAACAACAATCCTAGTTGAAAAATTTCTTGAGATTAATTGATACACGCTAGCACTTGCAGATGTTAACTACAAGTCGTTCTACTATGTAGTTTGCTCATCCCAGAAGTCACTCAATAAAAACTGACAAAGCAAAATCTATCAGCCGGAAGTTGAATAGTCATTTCAAAGGCATCTGGTCCAATGGCATACCTGTGATCTCCCAGAATCGTATTGTAGCTGTAATACTCCAGCTCATTAAACTCGTGACACGGCATTAATTCTATGCAATTTATCCCAAGTTCCTGTCAATATGTAAATAAATGTTACTTTCAATTAGATAAGGGCTCTAGCAAATCACACACTATTAATAGGAAAAAAAAACTATAAAATTTTCTGCTCATTTTTAACCAAAAAATGGATATATTTGCATGGCCTAGATCACCAAAACTCATCTGAATTAAACAAGACAAAGCTTTTCAAAATGAGGACAACTTATAGCCACTCCACACAGAGATAATCATATGAAGCATTCATCCGATTTTGATTATTTTTTGTCTTTTTAAAATCGTGATGACTTTGTGTTAACATTATGTACGGTATACCACAATGGAAGTTGACATACTGGGATATTATTTTACCACAATGATCAGAAAGGAAGAATTCAGTGTTGAACTAATGAATATGCTAACAAAATTTCTACTGATATAGTCAGCAACATCTCAAAATTTCACCTAGAGACTATTTAGTAATCTTGTTCCAAAATAACAGTTCAAAGTTTTCTCAACTGTATATATTTGAGAGCCAGTACCTTCAAATGGTCAAGCTTCTCTGCAACACCCTGATATGTGCCAGGGAATTCTATTTTGCTAGATTCATGCCTTGTGAAACCTCGTACATGCATTTCATATATAACAAGATCCTTCTGTGGAAGCTTCAGATGCATATCCCCTTCCCAATCAAACTGAAGAGTAACAAAGGTCAACAAAATCACTCGTTAAAGAATGTCAATCATAACAGCCTTATAAATATCATTGGTACCTCTTCATCACGAGTGGGAACCATAGACGCCATTTGAGGCCAACAATTTTCATCAGGCCCCAAAACTCCAAACTCATCTCTGCTTATAATTGCCTACCAAACCAAAGGGACAAAGTTATAGCCAAGCCAAGAGATTATCTATGAGACTGTATATACTCAAAAAAAAAACCAAAAAACTTCAAATTTTGCAACTACCTTTGCATAAGGATCCAATAAAATGTTGGAGGAATCATAATAATGACCTTCTTCAGGAGAAAACTTTCCATCAAATCTGTAACCATACAACATATCTTTGAAATCCCCTTTCAAGAACACATGCCAAACATGGCCAGTTCTATTCCTTGATGGATCTAGCTGAATCTCCTCCGTCACTTTGTTCTGCAACGTGACCCAAATTTTGAAAAAGGGGTTTCTAAAAAATGTGAGATAAACCCAAAAACACTCGCTTTTGAAGGTTAAACCTGACGGAGATCGGAGAGAGAAATCAAGCAGATGGTAGCGGAAACGGAGTTTGTAGAGTAAACAGAGAAATTGACGCCGTCGTCTCTGACAGTGGCTCCGAATGGAGAAGGAAGTCCATTAGAGACGTTAAATCTCTCTGATTTAAGAGGTTTCTCTACTACGGCGATACTTTCAGCTTCGCTGCTTCGTCTAGCCTTGGCGGAAATCGAAATTGGTCGGAAGAGACGCTTGAAATTGGGTGCGGATATTTTAGGAAAGGCGTGGTTAGAGAAGAGAATGTTGAGCTTGGTGCGATGAAGAAAACTGGAACTGCATTTGATGGAATCCATGGAAGCTCGAAAAGAGAGCTTCCAAAAGGAGTGAAAGAGAGACGAAGAAGTGTGTTGTCACTCGAAGAGTGATCACTTTGATCCTTTTTTTTTTTACTATTGATGAGTGAAAAAATAATAAGTTACTGCACGTGGCTTAAAATTGGGCTTAGGGCTGGGCCTCCATTTATATACCCAATAACAAATGTTTCATTGAAATAATCATGAAAATATTAATATGTGAAAATTGTTTGTATACAAATAATAAATTTTAATGTCACACGTTTCCTAATCATAAGATGTTAAATTGAAGCTAAATATCTGTTCCCTTGACTCCAAGAGAACATTGGGGACCATATATATATAAATCGACAATAATAATGAAATCACAGACAGTGTAAAGATAAATAATTTAAGAATCTCTGATTTTAAGTAGTGACCATACAATGTGTCTCTTGGAGTAAATTTCTAATGTGTCTCTTCCTGAAAAGCTTAGGTTCGAGAACTCTGCCTGCAATTGTGTGGTTTCGAATCCTTCTTTTCATCGACGACTTTGGATTTTGGATAGCGAGATTTTTTTCTCGTCCTTTTTGCGACCTCCCTTTTCAGGGAATGGGTGTTAATTCACTTCAGGCGCACTATTGGAAGTATAAAACTGCTTGGAATCTTTTGTATTCCTTGTGGCAATGGTTATCTTGGAGCTTGGCATTCTGGAAAAGGATAGCCCTCCGCATCTACGAGAATCCTTCCTTCGTGGTGGAACTCTTTATCACTAGTATTCCTATTTCTTTTCTTGTAACTCTTCAATCGAGTTATTTGTCTTGTTGTTTAAAGATCTGGATGTTGTATTGCTCTCGAAGCAATATAGTATGTATCCTCCTGTGTAAGTTGATTGGTCTTTGTTCGGCTTCCTCTAGAAGGGAGTTTGTAAGCCTTTAACTTAATATATTGGAGTTTTTGAAGTCAAAAATCAAAAAAAAAAAAAGGAGTGACCATACATGCATGGTGACGCCGGGACCCTTCCTTTCAGACTCTTCTAAAACTACAAACAAAAATCTAAGTGAATAATAATTATAATTTGGTAACGTACATTTGAATTCTTGTCGTCTACGTCACATATAGATGATTGAGAGATACATATCTTACAATAATTTAGAAAAGACATATATAATTGATCAAATTACCAAATTGCTCCATCCATTTTCCATGTCTCCGCGAGACGATCGAGCTCTTCGGTCTAAGGAGTGGCCGGACATACTGATGACGCGGGGAACCGTTTACAAATTCTTCAAGTTCACAAAATTAAAAACCCCTAAGGATAATTACTTGTTAACATTGGGTTTTAAAAATTGGTGTCGAAAATCGTATATGCACAAAAGAGTCAAATACGCACATACGGTTCATGTTCAACATATTCTGACAAAAATATATATACTATACGACAATTTTTTATCTTATCGAATCAAAGCTGCCTATATATGTTTTTCATTTATTGGATAGACCTAAAAACATATGAAAAATATATATTTAATATGATTATATAATCGAGAAAAGAATGATCTGTCAGCGGAAATGTGCTTTTAGTCAAGTGGTTAAGTCCATTTGATTCCGCCAATCTGTCAGCTGATAATTCATTTTTCAGTTAATCCTTTTCAATTAAGCCCATAAAAAAAAAGTTATTAGCCGCGCTGGATACATTTTGAAATTTTTTTATATTTTTTATCGTGGATTCATTTTGAATATAGAGAAAAGTTTGATCTGATTCCTTTTTTTTTATGTCTCCACTAAATTTGGAAAAGATAAAAAGAAGAGAAGAGAAGGTTATGTGATCGAGTAAAGACGATAAGCTGAGCATATCATCAAGTTTTGGATCTGATGACACAAAGAAAGTCACGTGTGTATGTTCTCTGTTTTCTTGTGACCAAGGGCTAGATTTTTTTTCAGATCTTGGATTGAATAAAGATTCGTTTTGGCTTTCAAGCTTCTATCTACAAAGGTAAACAAAAATGTCGGCTTATGCGCATCAGATGGAGAGGGAATTCTCAGGTCTCTCTAGCCGAGGCAATTCCGGTATATATATTTATATTTCATAATCTTTCTAACATCTGAGTTTAGTATGGTTCTTGAGTTAAATCAGAGTTATTGCAATCTTCTTGTCTATTTTTTTTTGGCAGATTTGGGGAGTCGATATTCGATGGAATCTGGATGTTACATGACATCTTTAGCAGCTTCCATCTTCATAGCGTCTCTAGTAACATTTGGAGTTTTGATGATAACACTTTTTATAGCTTTATCAACCATGTTACAAACCTGTGAGAACCGGAATATTGGAATAGTCGAGGCTCAAAGACTTGATGAAAGTTTCGGTTACTGTAAAATCTTGTCTATACACTCGCAGCTCAATAGCTTGGGAGACGAAAGTGAGTTACCATTGTTATGTAGAGAAGTTGCTTTACGCAGAATCAAACAAGGAATTTACGTGAGAGAGTTAAACTTCACTATTCAATTGGCTCTCACTTATTTCCAAACAATCAAACCGATGAATGATAACCGCGATGTTGTTGTGATCGATATTGATGACACCAATCTGTAAGTGTTTTGTTTTTCATTTGCATTTTGTAAGTTTTTCAACTGTTAACGTTCTTGTTCTTCTCTTTATGTAGATTAGAACAAGATAGTTATTACATGAAGTATATTGAAGAAGCAAAGCATCAGAAAAGCATACTAACACTTGAACTATATTCTAAGCTAAGATCACAAGGCTATTCAATGGTTCTATTATCAAGAAGACCCGAAACAGAGCGGAACGCCACAACCGAGCAGTTAAAGTCTAGAGGATACAGCGATTGGTCACATTTGATCATGAGGTTTGCAACAAACTTAAACCACTAATCTCATTCACATCAAAGTAGCAAAAAGCCAGAGATTATTAAGAAGTTATATTCTCTTATTGCAGGGAAGATACAAGACAAAAGGAAGAGTTAGAAAGAGGTCACCGTGTAATTGGATTCATTGGTAATCATATGGATGTGTTAAGAGGCCAGTGGAATTGGCAAAGCAAGCGTCTGTTCAAACTTCCAAGCCTTACCTATGATGATGTTTTGGATTACAGTGAAAGATGAAATCATGAAGTTTCATGTGTATAGGTTTTCAAGAGTTTTCTGTAATATAGTTTTATATGTTCCAAAGATAAAGTAGAGACATATTGTAATTCTTCAATGTCTCATGTATACTTCTCTAGTTTCTTCTTCAATTTCCTGAATTTAGTCCGTCTTTTGTCACTATCACATCACAAAGTGGGTGGTCATGTATCCAAGAGTATATGTATCAAATCAGATTAGCTTAAGAAGAGTCAAGAGCCAAATTCTTACAAAAATTCGAGGATTAGCCAGTGATTACTTGCATCAAGATATCGCGAATTTGAAGAAAAAAAAATGGCTGTTTTAGTCAAACATATGCTCTTGAGATCAACTTGAACTAGTCCATATATGTTGACTAACAGTACTCAGATTTGGATCCTCCTGGTATTGACTCCACGCTGACTCAAACTGTAAACCTTTGCACCTGTGGAGAGAAAGAGGGGGGAGCTTAAATAAAACAGAGAAAATGTGAACAATCTTTGGTAGTGCATTTGATAAGCCATATAAACATACTGGCGGAGTAGCATCAAGATACGGAGGATAAGAGGTCTAATATCATCGCGATCCTTACGCATTGATGACTCTTTGTACAAGGAAACAAGCTCATCCACCAATCTGAAGGTCCAAAATCATGAGATGATTAATGTTGGATAAGAGAGAAAGAGTTTGAGTTGAAGCATCTAAAAGTTACTACTCTCAAGTGTTTAGAGGCTTAAACCTTGGGAACACAGGTGAGTTTCTAATCCACGTCAACCTCAGAACCGTCTCCAGTCTCTCAAGAACCTATATGGTTTTAGCAGGTAATGAAACTTTCATGTTTATCTTAAAGAATACCAGAATGAGTTGGGAAATCTAACATCTTATAAACTGTGAGGTGTGAAACAAGACCATACCAACAAAACGGTTTCGGCATCGTCTGAATGCATCCACTGAAAGAATAGAGGGAAGATACGTCGAAAATGAGCAAGTAAGAAAAGCCCTAGAGAGTTCAAGAGTGGCTCAACGAATCTTAGCCAAGTGATACGTCGCTCCTTATTTCTTGGTTGGCGTTCCAAATGCCCAAGCATCTCGTTCATGATCTTCTCATACCTAAGGCAAAAAAAAAGAAACTCAAAATGAGCAAAATAGAGCTGAGAAAGATGGAACGATCAAACCAATCTGTCAAATGACATGATCTTACCACGGGCTTCGGGGATTATTTGGGTGGATTTTAGTAACAAGAAGCACAGATAACTCTACCACATGTATCCAAATCTCATCATCGGAAGCTATATTCTGGCAACACGCATCAAGAACCACATCTCCATACAAACCAAGATCACCCGAACTCACATTTTTAGCAAGATGAACAAAGGTTATCATACCCTGCCCCTGTCATCAAGCAAATATAGAACATCAATCTCACTATACCTTAAGATACGAGTAGATAAAAGCTTAAAATTTTGCAACATGTTATCGATGTTACAAGTCACACAACTAACAGGAGAGAACCCATCAAAATCTACATCTCCAAAGACTTACTTTGACTTCAGGAGACCAATGATCAAGTGCTGTCAAAGCACAAGGAACCACCAAGTTACAAAATTTCACCAAATTCGGTTTCTCAACCTACAAAAAGACATGAACACCTCCAAATTTATAAAGTTGGATATGTTCACAACAGAAGAGAACAATTTCTCAAATTTTAGAATTCAGACCTGAGTAACAAACCACCTGAGCTGGTGAGCAGCAAGTATCGCATAACCAACAGGAGTTCTCGCCATTGCAGCTGAAACATCCTCTGCATCACTGCCTTTACCAAGTGAACTCTTTTCGATTCCATCTTTTAACTCCGGCAAAACAATCGGTAACATTTCCATCTTCTCACTATCCTCCACCAATTCCACGAGCTTCTCAGCAGTACTGTTGCTGGAAAAATCACTGAAACAATCCCTTGAAATCTCCCAAAATGTAGATTCCCCCATAACAGATAGGTTATCTGGAATCCATGAGAGAAGTTCGTGAGTGGAGGAACGTGAAGAAGCGAGAAGGGCACAAGCAAGCGCGAGACTTTTGATCGATTCTTCATTGGTAAGGCGAGAAGACGAAGTGTTTGGTAACAAGGAAAAGAGTATATCTTTAGTGGATACTTTGCTGCTTTCTTGCGGTGTGTACTGTGTGCGTCTAAGAATCTCTGCTATTGGTTCTGATAATCTGAATCCTCAAAAAACAAATCAAAATTAGGGTTCTTCAAGATAGCAAGTAAAGGGCAAAAAGCAGAAGCCAGAGAGAGAGAGAGAAATAACTAATTCACTCACCGAAGAAGTTGACCATGGAGGTCAGAGTTTGTGCTCAACATTTTTCGAAATTGACAATTTTCTTTTGTTAAGTTCGAATCTTTACACAAATCAATTGTGTTTTTGATTGATTTCAGTTTCACTCTGTTTTACTGGATTTTTTAAAAAGCTGCTTTTGAATTTAATGAAGAACCGGACCGGACATCACCAAAGATAGTGATTTGTCCGGTCTAGCACGCCGGTTCGGTCCAGCTTGAAAGACCAAGATTCAGTCAGAGCCAAAAGTCCTCACTCCTCAGTTATTATTATAGAAGTAGAATATGATTCACAACAAGAAACTCAAAGAAAACTCGGAGAATTTTATGCCTATGGAAGAAGACAAAGAACATGAAGAAGCGAATACAGGTAAACAACACATCACAGACACAGAGACAAACAGATTTTCAACTTAAAAATTGGGCAGAGAATTTTAAAATCAAGATTCGGGAACGGCTGCTACAGCTGCAGCGGCTGCGGTAGCAGCAGCAGTAGCGCGTTTGATGGAAGCAGATTTGATGAGGTGATTGTAACTTCCTTTTTCCTTGAAAAGTTGAGCGAAATGGTGCTTGCAGTACAAAATTCCCTCAAGAGCTGCATAGTTTGATGGAGATATCGGACAGCCTCCATGAGAACACTTGAAGCAAGATTTATGGTAACACTGGCTTTCCACAGTTACCTACGGTTTTTAGAAAACAGAACAATAAGATAACAATTTGAAAGAGATCTAAAAGCTCCTATTCTTGTATAATCCGCTATGATTTTCCCGACTAAGATCAGGTGAAGTGGAAAGCAACAGTAATGGTATATACATAAGAAATGTATATTAACCTTTTCAATAGGATACACGGTTTTACTGCAAGTAGCGCATTTGTCTTGCGTTCCAGAGAACATACCAGCAAGTCGACTAGGTGTCCTTGTCTGAGAACAACCAAGCAGAGAAATAGAGTCATGTATCTCTCAATTCGTGTAACTAAATAAAAACATGGACGCGTAGTTAAGAAGCGTTTACCAGCTCAGGGGTTGGCTTATCAGTCAATGGTTTTGCAGCTGTGAAAGGAAAGAGAGTTTGATGATTAAAAGTAAAGAGAGATCACAAGTAAAAGCTGGATCAGAAGGTGAAGAAAAGAGTGACATACGTGACTGAAAGTTCTTGCTGAAACTACCAGACTCCTTGAAGAGCTGCTCAAAATGAGGCCTACAATACACCACTCCTTCCATTGATGAATAATTGCTCAGCTGTTCAAAAACCATCAACACGTTTTAACTTGATCACTTAAAAGAAGACCAATTCAGATCCAAGTATCTCTCTAGATAAAACTCTTAATGAAAACCTCAAAACTTTCACAATACTAATAACTACATTCATGGTTTCCTTCAAGTTTCACACAGATAGTAATTATAGCCATTCAAGCAATCTCTACAGGTAAAGTTTATGGAAACTCTGGCCATTCAAGCAAGCTCTACAGGTAAAGTTTGAATCTTGAATTTCAGTAAAATGAGAACATCGATATAGATAACAAGGAATTGATCAAACTTTCATCCATAGAGTGAAGAAGGGAAAGCAAAAGAGGAAAACTGACTTGAAGTCTGCTTTTGCAGTGAGAGCATTTGAAGCAAGACTTGTGATAAGAGATTCCATCAGCTGAGAGAAGCTCCACAGGGTACACTGTCTTCTCGCACGCCCTGCATTTCTGCTGAGTTCCTGTAAACGACATCGTTTTGGAGATCTTCTACCTCCAAAGATCTCTCAGCTCAAAACCTCTTTCTCTATAATAACATTTCAAAACCACAACACAAAGAGGTTTAACATAAATCCCATTAACACATTCTTAGACTTTTCACATAAGCTATTTCCATCAATTTCAAGATATCCACGGATCGATAAATACAAATTTCGATTCAATCAGAACATAAAAATCGTATCTTTTTTCTACAGGAATTACAAAAAGAAAAGAGAAAAACTGATTTTTTAACAGAATAAATGCGTAAAGAACTAACAAAAGGCAAAATGGTTACCTCTTCGTCGATCTGATCAACAAAAGCGAAAAATGAGAAATCAAAAAGGAAAACCAAAATTGAGAAGAGAGAAATGCAGGTTGAAATTGGAGCTGAAATGAAAAGAGAATCAAGAAGTCGCTGCGTGAAGATGAAGAAGAAGATGAAAAGTAATGATTATGGAGCACGACGATGGACAAAATAATAATGAGATGAGATAAATCTAAAGCTGAGCTTTGGTGGAGACAGTGGGGTTCCACTTTGGCCTGTCTAAAATACTCTTTCTGTTTCATAAAGAGTGTCATTTTAAAGTTTTGCACACAGATTAAAAAAACATTAAATTTTTTGTTTTTTCTAAACAATCTGTAGAATACTAATAGTCATAAAACATAAATCATTAAATTTTGCATTGAAAACCTAAAACGACACTCTTTGTGAAACAAAAATAAAACTTTAAAACGACACTCTTTATGAAACAGAGGGAGTATTGTTTTAATTAGAAATTAAACAGCTAATCATTCAAAGATTAGGTTTTTATTAAAAATCCATTAACTAAACCAAACAAAATTCTGTTTCTTATCTTCTCTATCTCACTAAATAAAGGTTTTTTAAGTTAGGTGTTTTCCTCTAATATGATTTACGTTTCTAGTAGAGATGATTAACTAAATGACAATTTGTGTTGTGGACTATTACAACTGATTTTCAATAATTCAACATTATTCCATTACTTAAATTTATGTAAATACAATAATATTAGTTTTTTTGCCACTATTACAACTGATTTTCAAAAAATGGCATAGAAAACATCAGCACAACCACCACTCAAGATTG